TGGGCATTGCACACGGTCTGTTTCATTGAGACAGAAACCTAGAGTCAGGCCTGAGTGGCCACAATGGGCAGCCTGCCTACCACAGCAGAGAATACCTCAGAGTGGAAGGGCAGTGAACTGGCATCCAAGTGGCCAGGCTGCTCTAATGAACCACACATAGTCTGGAGCCTCCTCTTGAGGAAGCAGGCAGGAGGCGCAGGTGCTGCTTCCATGGGCGGGGCAGGAGTGCAGACCATCCTGTGAGGGTCAGGGCGATGCCTTTCACATGTTGGTGCTCATCCGTGACTGGCTGTTGGCTGGAGTTAGCTCCCCTTGGCTCCCTTCTCTAGGAGGAGACTGCAATGGACAGGGAGGGTTCAGTGGAGGCTGTGTAAGTGCTGCGCATTCCTTTGAGCCCCAGGCCGCTCACCTTCACATGGATCTGGTTGCGCAGCACAGCTGCCCTCAGAATCATGGCTTTGGCGCGCCGTTGGAACTCCTTGCCCATCAGCAGGGACTTCTCAAAGGTGGTGCTGCGCTGATCCACGTCTCGTGCGTACAGTATCTGCACAGGCACGAGACAAGGCTCACCATGGCCCAGCAGGTCTCCACAGCACATGCTCCCGCAGCCCCAGCCCTGCCTACCCACCTTGCTGTGCGAGTCAATGCGGGCGTTAATGAGACCCTCCAGGATGAGCTGCGTTAGCTCATCCTCCAGGGCTGCAACTGTCGTGTTGAAGGCTGCAGCCATCTTGTGCATGTCAGCTGACACGTAGGGGCTGAAGTACTACAGGACAGAAGCCACAAGCTAGCCACTGCTCCACAGAATGTCTGCACCCCACACAGCCTCTGCTACCCCTCCTCTGCTTACTTGAATGAGAGCCCGGTTGCGAATCTGGGTATATAGTGTCCTCACGTGGGGGGCCAGATACATGTCCAAGAGCAGGTTGTCCTGCAGAGGAGAGCTGGCCAGTGACCCTGAGGCACAACCCAGCCCAGTCTCACTGTGACTATATATACCCTGTCTCTTACCTTCATCTCGTCCAACATCTTCAAGCATGAAGCATACTTGGACTCATAAAATTTGAAGATGATGTCTCTGACCTGTGGCTCCAGCTCCAGGAACAACTTGAAGGAGCTGAGGAGACCAGTGTTCAGTTAAGAAGGGGCTGAGCCTAGGCAGGAACAGAGGTAGGAGCCCACCACCCAACTTACCTGCTGGAGATGACATTGCGTTGCAGCTCCTGCCGGTCAAAAGTGGCTAAGGCACACAGGCCACCATAGACAGCCACATTGCTGGGGGACAGCAGCTGAGAGGCAGAAGGGGAGCTGAGTCCAGACACCTGCGTCTGGTTCACTGGTGCACAGACCAAGGAGGGAGGCCAGTGTTGGGGCCTGGCCTGCCCTTCCCACTACCCACTCAGAATGCTTAGACCTCATTCAGGAGGTTAACAGCCCTCACTTCCTCTTACAGACTTGGACAAGGTGAAGAGTCCCATATGCCCCTCCTCACCTCTGGGAAGTCGCAGTGATCAAAAGAAGCCAGAAGGAAGCACTTAGCAGCTTGCTTATACTTCCGTGCAGCCAGCTCAGCCAGGCCTAAAAGGGGACCAGGGAGGAAACCAATGAAGCTAGGCTATTTAAAAGAGGTTGCTAGAGCCCTAGGAGACCATGGTCATCAGTGGGTAGCACCACTGGCCTCTTGCCCCCAGTGTTCCTCAGTTGAGGGACAGAAATCCTGTTAGTAACAGCATCTAACTGACTGAAGACATTCCTGTAAGTTAGGTCTGCAGGGAATCCTCAGAATGCCCATAACATATAGCCAGGCTCAGGAACCAGCTTCTCTACTTGAACTTGAAGCAAGTGCCACACACACACACTGATGTCCTAAAGCCTGCCTGTACTCTATCTCCTGCTATTCCCCCAAGGTGGGCCCTGTCTGAAGGTTATAAGGGCTTGAGGTGTCTGGAAGCCTCACCTGCAGCACACTTGAGCTTGGTGAGGATGGCTTGGGTCTGGCTGTCCCGCTCTCCACGCTGCTACAGGGGAAGGCAGCAGACATGAGAGGCCCCCTCCCCTGCCCTCCTCATTCAAGGAGCTCTCCTCCCTGTCCCCAACCTACCCTGAGAAGGGACAAGAATATACTCAAAAGGAGATTTCGGCTAGGAATGGGTATGGGGGCCCACCAGGGGGCCAGACTTGTTGAGCAGGGTTATCTGTGGCGGTGGACCTTACCTCAGCAATCTCTGGAGTGGACTCCGCCTTGCTGACATAGCTTAACACATGTGACCAATTTTGCAAGTAGACACTGACCTGGCAGATGAGCAGGCAAGGCCAGACTCAGTCGGGGTGGCCCCTTGCGGCCCCGCCCACCACACCCACCTGCCGCCCACCGCCCAGGCCACCTTGATGACATTGAGGCACATGTTGGTGACATGCTTGGCACTGGTGCAGTAGTCCCGGGCTCGTGAGTAACATTTGAGGGCATTGCTGAGGTCCCCACAGTCCAGGTAGTGGTCACCCAGGTCATCATGGCCGCGCCTGTAGGCCTGGCAGTGAGTGGACCCTGGTCGAGGAGCCAGCCAGCCCAGCTGCCCACCTCTGCCCCGCCCCAGAACAGGCCAGCACCTGATGCTCTCTTTGATAGAATTGCCCTTATAATTCTTCAAGTCTGTGTCCAGCTTCTCCAGTTTCAGCAGGGCCTTCTTCCGAGTGGCCTCCACCCAGGCTGTGTCCAGGGGTGGGGGCTCCACTGCACTTTCGGGGATGGCATCGGGCGCATTCTGCAGCTCCCTGAAGGACAACCTAACCATCAAGACAGTGATAACCACAAGGACCAGAGGAAGGGGAGAGGATATCACAAGCCTTTGCCTATCTCTTGCCCCACCCAAAGGGCCCAATCTGTACCAGGGGCACAGAGACAACTCCTGACCTAGGACCCCACAGTAAGATAGGGAAGTTTAATGGAAGGTGAGGGGTTTTGACCCAAGCCTTTATTTTTTACTTTTCTGCAAAGGACAGCCACACTAGGTTCTCAAGAGTTAGGAATTCCTGTTGTCTGCACAGAGGCAAAGGAAGCCAGGAGAGGGAAAAATAGGGCCTGCTACCACTTCCCCACCACATGGAGTTAACATGGTCACACCGGTGCATGACGGGGCACATCACAGTGGGACACCAGTCATGTTGACAGGAGTACAGAAAGGCCCTGCCAGCCCACACATGGTCACTTGCCCCCTCTGAGGCCTTACCTAGTGGCCTCAGAGAGCTTCCGGTGGATCTCTTCATACATATCCACATTGAAGGTCCTCTGCACAAAGGACAGGGCCATTTTCAAGGCCTCTACCCGCAGTGGAGGGCATCGGTCTGCAATAAACTGCAGCCGCTCAATGCGCATCAGGCCGCTGTAGCTGGCTGCATACTGCTCCAAATCCTGGGGGGGGGGGGGGGGGGGGGGGGAGGGAGCGTAAGCAAGGACCTGACAGCCTGAGCCAGAGCACGCTATCTTTCCTTAGGCCTTGGGCCTACAGAATCAACTTCCTTCCCAGGGTCTTAGACCCGCCAAAGAACCCAACATAGGTGGGCAAATGCAAACCCGGAAACCGAAAAATGTGACTAAAGCAGTTGCTAAGAATCAGCCATCTTCCCAAGCGACGCACTGTAAACAGCGGGGCGTCTGACTCGGCTCCCTCAACAGACCCAAGTGGCCAGCAGTTCTCCCCCCACACGAGGATCCATCCGTACCAGGGTGGGGTTCTCCACCACGTAGTTCACATCAGGTGCGTTCTGGGGGTCTTCCTGGGGATCCACATCAATCTGCATGGGTTCCACAGCCCCCTGCAAGGTACAAAGAGCACCCTGACACGCCTGGGCGCCTGGGCGAGCAGGGGCTGCTGCTGCCCTCCGTGGTCAGCTCGACCCAACGTTTCCCAAGGCAGCAGTGCGCTCATCTCCCACAGGTGTGGCCGCCAGGCGCCCTCGTCAGCTCTGCGCCCTCGGGTGCGGGG